ACGTAACAACAGGTGACCCGCCAGAACCATTAAATAGGACGGTACAAGATCTGACGGCGCATATTGGAGCGACCTCTTCGACAGGCGGCTGCCTGGAAGACACCACTGCGCGTAGCGCTCTTTTCGGACAAGCGCTCGAGCTCGCCAGGTAATTTTCCTACACTTTGCTATCTTCTCCTAATGACACATGTCCGCTACAGTTTCGTGTCCTGATTGTATGTACGTACAAAGGATATTTAATACTTTTTTGAGTCAGAAACAGTTGTAGATACACGCACTTCTGGTGGCATTACTAACGGTACGGGTATAGTTATAGATGCAGTCAACTGATATGTTATCTAAGGCAAAACAGACCTTTGAAAGTACAACGATTTGTATAAAAACCTAAGCCAGTAGTCTTTGGCTGGCAGTACTAGTCATGTACAGATTTTATCACTCCATAATTACTGATTCAGGGAAGTATGATATGGACTTCTTTCTCGCGTGTGTTAAAATCGTGAAAATTAGTTCTAGCTAAATATCATCATGGCGTTTTCTAAAACCTGGCGCAGACTAAGTGTAGGACCTTTTCCGACCCACGCAAATATTCTGTGACTGTAATTTACGGCTCCAGTCCTTGCCTGTGGCTAAGAGATAGCCCAGTCAACAAGTCTGTGGTATTCACTCGGCAGTATCTCGTGTTAGGCTATGGTAGCTATATATATTCTCCAAGCGAATGTCTGGCGAGATCCCTAAACGCGCGCCACTAGGAAAGCGTAATTAAAAAGACAGCGCAGAACAAATTTTTACCGGTATCTACTTGGAGATTATTCGCTCTCGGGATGTTTGGCTTCTCGTATTACTAGTATTCTTTATCTTTTGTTCACTAATCAAAACTTAAGTGTTGAAACGGCTGGGGTGCTTTTGCTTACGTCTAGAGCAATGGTAACTATACTAGAGGCCGGAATGGTGTACAGTTATATTTATAGTTTGAGCATAGACAAAACATAAATATTCTGGATAACAAAATCTGCTGGCAATCGCTAGCATTTTCACGTCAGTTTTTCATATTTCTAGTATTTGTTATAAACAGTACGAAAACAGCGCTAGCACGCACCAATGTATCATTATTTTTGGTGGTACCAATAGTTACATGCTAGTTGGAATGAACAAAATCTCACATTTTTCGTAAAAGCAATGCTGTCGGATACGCACTCCCAAAATATCACTTTGCAATGCAATAAGGTTGATTGAACTTACTATGTAAAGAAACCGCTTTAACTGATGAGTGCCTCTATACTATTACTCGTACATCGAATACACAGACCTTTATATTACTAAGTCAAATACTGTTAGGGGCCAGCTTGTGCGTTTGGATGCTCAGTTTACACAGTTCTATGATTGATGTTTCTCTGTATAAGGCGACACCAAGTAATTTTTATGGTTGACATCGCCACGCGCATTGATTTTGGCCTGTTCCCAGAAAAATAGATTTTCCGATTCCTGTAAATATGACCAAAGAGTCACGAGAGTGCCTCAAATCGTAAGATTAACGTAAAACCTGTAACTCGAAATATGAGCACAAGAAACATGTAGGACAGGATGACAACTGCTGTTCCACTGATGTATTACTCTTTTTAATGACGAATAAAAGACTTGTTGCTTGTCGCGCTAGGTTCTGTCATCATGCAATTTGTGTCCTATATCGTTTGCCGTCCCTTAATATATTTCAAATCTAGGTATCTTGTTTTTCGGCCCTTCTTGTGTTTTTTTCGCTCTCTCGCATGAGATTTAGTACTCTCCAAGCAGAGGTTTGGGTTTTGGGTCATTTTTGGCGTGTTTGTAGGCTTTTTTTTATCGGGGTTTCTTTTTTGCACTGGATTTTTATTTGTCATTTTTTCTTGGGGGGGGGCTGAAAAAATCCCGTGCAAAAAAGAATAAAAAAAAACATAAAAACTCCAAAAAGCCGATAAAAAAGCCTATAAACACGCCCAAAATAACACAAACCTCTGCGTGGAGAGTATAGATTTAGGGTCTCCAGGACGTCATCCATAAAAATGACTTCGCGTGGCCTAAGTTACTGTACGGCACTGCTTAGCATTCTGGTGCGCTCCGGGGCTGCATGCCTCGCGGGGTACCGGCGCTGGGCCCGTAATGCGCCGGCCAGCCGTATTACACACACCGCGGGCCGCGCCTTATGGGCGGTTCAACAGATTACTGACGACGTTTAACCGCCTCGCCTTCCTGTTTTCCCATCTATCATCCTTTTTACCATCGCCCCAGCGGTGTGTGTTAACGTTCGTCCTTCTTGGGTCATAGACCGCACTGATAGTTAATTGGCGCCATTGAAAATGCGCGCCAAAGTATAAAGTGAAGTTGGCATGGAAAGTCACTGAAAACCTATACTCTAATTTCCCCATGGGCAAAGGGGAAGCTATCCTCCTATTAAAGTTAACAGTTACAGATAGCGGCAATAGGCCTTTCTAACAGAATATGAGTCACATAAAAAATACACAAAGTAGCCAGAAGAGTTAAGTTGACATGGGAAGTCACTGAAAACGTATTCTTATTTCCCCATGGGCAAAGAGGAAGCTACCCTCCTATTAGAGTAAACAGTTATTGATAGCGGTAGTGTAGTGGGGCACTTCTTCCAGACTAAAAGTCACATCAAAAATGCATACACAAAGTAGCTGGCAGAGTGAAGTTGCCTTGAAAAGTCACTGAAAACGTATACTGATGTCCCCATGGGCAAAGAGGAAACTACCCACCTATTAAAATAAATTGTTATAGCAGCAGTGGAGCACTTCTTCCAGAGTAGGAGTTACATAAAAATGCATACACAAAGTAGCTGGAAGAGTCTTCACTCTTCCAGCTACGACTCTTCCAGCTACTTTGTGTATGCATTTTTATCAAGTTGACATGGAAAGTCACTGGAGCCGTATTCTGATTTCCCCGTGGGCAAAAGAGGACGCTACTCTCCTATTAAGAAAACTGTTATAGCGGCAGTGCGGCACTTCTTCCAGAAGTCACATAAAAAATAATACACAAAGTAGCTGGAACAGTGAAGTTGGTATGGAAAGTCGCTGAAAACGTATTCTGATTTTCCCCAAGGGCAGAGAGTAAGCTACCGTCCTATTAAAATAAATAGTTATTGCAGCAATGTGTCACTTCTTCCAGGATAATAGTTACATCAAAAGCACCAATTCAGGCAATGTTCCAATAGCGTGGGTTACTACCGTACAATTCAAAGCTCTTTGACCGTACCAAGTAGGCCTTGTGGCAAATAGACAGTTATAGCAGCGGTGGGCCATTTCTGCAGCGTAGAAGTCACATCAAAAATACGCATTTGGGCAATGCTCCTATAGCGTGGGTTACTACCGTACCAAGTAGGCCTTGTGGCAAATAGACAGTTATAGCTATAGCAACAGTGGGGCACTTCTGTCAGAGTAGAAGTCACATCAAAAACACGCATTCAGGCAATGCTCCTATTGCGTGGGTTACTGCCTTGTTTCACATTAAACCCCCCCCCCCGCCTTTAAGGCTTACATTACTTACGTCTTTTCTTTAATGGCAAAGAACATAGAAACATCGAAAGAGGTGAAGGTTGGCATTACTGGATACCTTGTTATAGTAAGACGTCTATCTGGGTTACTAGCGTGCTTTATTTCACTTGATATTTTCGCCCTCTAAGGATCATATTATATATGTCTAGCCTTTTAATAGGGCAAGTAGATTTTGTTTCTTCAATGGTCGCATGGACAAAACCTGGTAGCATCGAAAGAGGTGAAGGTTGGCATTACTGGTAAATTAATGGGATAACAGGGGTGCTATCCCATTAATTTACCATGTAGAGAACCATATAGAAATTTTTTGGTGGAATAATAGGATAATTTTTTTTACCTATAGCTATCCCATGTAAAAGTAGTTAGCACGTTTCTTAAAGACAAACCTTGTCATTACTAAACAAGAGTTCCACGATCTCATACCTTCGCCAAATGACGTTAAGAAATGCTCCTGCAGTTCCAGAACAAGCCGCTAGGGACCCAAACTCATGGCACTTCTTCCCTAGCCCGAGAGCTATCTGCCATTCGTAACCCTAGCATGTCCAGATCATGAGATATCAAAACCGAAAGTTCTGCTGCAGTACCAACAAAAGCCGCCAGGGGCTCCAAAATCTAATGATTTCTAGGTCTCACCAAGTCCTACCCACCTACCAAGATTCATGACAATGCATATAAAGCTTCTTGAGTTACGCTGTTAACAGACAGACAGACAGACGGACGGACAAACAGACATACGGACAAACGCTACTGAAAACATTACCTTCTTGTCTAAGGTAATAAATGGGGTAAATAACTAAAGCTTGTTAGAGTAAGACTTCTATCTATATATTCAACATTTATTGCGATGAAGACGGCGCCATCCTTAGTCAGACGTTAAGTTTTATCATGTTTTAGTGTCTATGTCATATGTCTCTATGATGACGTTGAGATATATTGGTCTGTAATTTTGGCGCCGTAAAGTTTTGCTTCATTGCCATTCGGTCTAACCCAACGTCACTATCAGTTACGAAGTGCATCTATATTCTCAGACGAAGATGTAGATGTCAAAGGGGAAACTCTTAGTGCAAATTGCATTTTGTCTATGCTTCGGAGAGTTTTTGCTTTTCGTTTCATAGTCACAAAATTATACTGACAGCTTAGGTTACGGTCTAGGAAAGTTGTTTTTCCGGGTTATTGTGGAAAAATTCTCCTTTAGCTGCCCACCCTGGAATTTTCTTCTTTTTTTTTTAGATTTTGGCTAAGATGATGACACAAATAAAGTTGTGGTGCTGTTTCTAGTTCGGTTAAGGTTTATTTATTTCATCAGTGTAGTCGGCGTAATCGGAGAAACCTGAGTGATTAGGTCTTGCATGGCAAGAGCGGATGGATACATGGGATCTATAAAATGAGGTCAAAATTAGGGTCTGTTTACTGTTGTCAGCTGTTGTTGTCAGACTTTGAGCCAGTCAACGCACCGTTTTCTTTGTACATTTGGAAGGCAGACCCACGTGACACTCGTGAGATTGAACCGGGAAAAACGCAGAAAAACGCTTTTATAAGGCCTTGTTTCGCTGTAGCCTTCAATGGCCCAAACCTAATAGTGCTATCTGTCCTCTACCTTTCACATTTCATTCATCCAGAAATAGATGGCCAACATAGCACAAGTCTACAAAATTGGAACCGAAGAAACATCTTCCAACATTTGGTGGCAAAATTGGTTCCTTACGTGACCTGGCCGACCTACATATTGGCTACAGGGCAGAGATCGGGTTGGGAATGGGGTTTGAAATTTCGCCGGCTACATTGCGCCAAGTCAGCTGAATAGAGTAATTGTCGTTACAACGAGGCCATGTATGTTTGTGGGAATGGGAATGACCGTACAAAGCCAGCATCACTGCCGTCCCAAGGTATTAGATATGATGTGAATAGGGAAAGAACCAGGCTTGAATACAAACTATATCACAGTGCGTTTAGAATAGAGCTATCACCAAATTTTCAAGCAGATGTGGGGGGTGAAGGAACGCTAACGTTTTCTGGCGTCTGCAAAGCTTCAGTTACGATATTTCCTCACTACATCTGCCTGGACGCTAGCTACCACCGCCTCCTAGCTTTGCCCAGCCTGAAACCGTTAATAGCACTTAATTAACGCGGATACGAAGTAACTGTATCAATTATCGTCCACTATGGTAAGTTAAATGGCGATTTGATAGGACAAATTATCCGGTAGTAATTTCATTTGAAACGCTGACGTACCCAGATCAACTCAGCAGTGTACATCACTCTACATGCACTTATAGTTTAACACTTACATGTAGAGGTCAGTGGTTTTTCATACTTAAGGATTCAGTCATGTAGACTTCAGTGCATTCCGGTGACCTGTCTTTAACTAGGTTATACGTCTTCTATTTCACATGTATGTAAGGTATTGAAAAACATTGATGCCAACACTAACAAAAAACTGTATTATTCTGAAGTAGATTATACGCCTTCTATCATATAAGCCATTGAAAGAAGTATTCTCATGTTGTTATACATTGACGCCAACACTAACGGAAAACTGTATTATTTTTAAGTAGATTATATGCCTTCTATTATATAAGTCATTGAAAGAAATATCCTCATGTTGTTATACATTGACGTCAATACTAACGGTATACTATATTGTTCTGAACTAGATTATACGCCTTCTACTATATTATGTCATTGAAAGAAACATTCCTCATCTTATACATCGATGCCAACACTGACGGTATACTAAATTTTATCAATGTCCTTAACTAGGTTATACGCCTTCTATTTTATATAAGTCATTAGAAACAATATATCATGAACTTATACATCGACGCCAACACTGACGGTATACTACATTATATCTATTGTCCTAAACTAGGTTATTCGTCTTCGATTTTATATAAGTCGTTATAAACAAAATATTCCTCATGTCATTATACATTGACGCCAACACTGACGGGTATAACGTTAATAGATTATCTACTAGTATTGTCCTCTTGTACGCTTTCTACATAATACAAATCATTGATACACTGGACGTGAAAAACATTTCTGACTGAAAATCCAATACTCTGAAATAAAATCATACGCCTTCGCTCGTATTGAGAAACGAAGAATTTGCCTTTATTTTTCCTTCAATGTTATAAAAAGATGCGGTCTTACTCTGACACAGTTTTTCTAAAACCAGGTCAAACGCCGTCTGTGTTATATAACTAACACAGCCTCTTTTATCTCCGTACTTCAAAAGTGTGTCATTATACCGAGCTGGTATCTTTAACATTCAAGTGATGCCCTTAATTGGATCCTTTTGTACATTTAGTGAATGGAGGGTTTTTGAGGTACCGGTGTGTCCATTTTTCAGTTTGGTTGTGTTTCCGTACTTATATCCACATATTAGGCACACCTGGAACACTGACAGGAAGTTAGGTCAAAGGTCCCAGAAAGGGCCCATCAAAGGTTATCGTATTTCCCGTCTTCAATTTCCTGCTAGATACATGTCTGTTGCCTCATGGGAGCCAGTGGGGAAATGTATAGACTAGACAGAACCAGCGAGGAATTCACAATGAAGGAAAAAGAAACAAAGTCAATAGAATTCGTCTGGCCTTATGTGTTTATACCTCGACAAAACACATTATGATGGTATTACTGAATTCTGAATTCTAGGTCATATCGTTAAGCTCGTTTGAACCGGTACCGATCGCTTCTTACATAAAGCCGAAATACTGACGTCTTACATTAAGCAGGAAATGCATACTTCATTAATATTATTCTTAGAAATCGCTCAAATACTCTCTCCCACACAAAACTATGTGGGTGGCGTCCAAAAACGTTGCTACGGATGTTGTTTAAAATAGATTATTCCCATCATGAACAAGACTTCACACACAATCGCAGGGTTGAGAGAGAGAGAGAGAGAGAGAGAGAAGGGGGAAAGGGGGAAGAAGAAGAAGGAGAAGAGAGGCTTCAAACGTGGCTTGTCCCCTCATATGGAGTGGATATTTAAGTGGATTTTGTGATCGCTTTAATACTATCTCACCACACAAAGTGTCAATTATATAATTATGTGGGTGGCGTTCAAAAACGTTACTAACTACGAATGTTGTTTAAAATAGATTATTCCCACCATGAACAAGATCTCAAATACACCCCGCTGACAGATCGTGAAGTACAGAATTGGCCTACGTGAGAAACGTAAATATATATATATATATATATATATATATATATATTTAGAGACTAGAGTCTTGACTATAGTCTATATATATTTAGAGAGGGGGAGAAGAAGAAGAAAGGCTTCAAAAGTAGATTTCACATACACCCCGCTGAGAGATCGTGAAGAACTGAAAATTGGCCTACGTGAGAAACGTAAATATATACTTAGAGAGAGGTGGAAGAATAAAGGCTTCTAAAATAGCTTGTCTCCTCATGGATGTGTGTATAATAACTGAGGATAGGTAGTCTCTCTCGTCATATCCTGAATGGTGTCTATCTACATTTAATCTGGTTCTAAGCCTGAATGGGTTAGGGTTAGGTTAGTCTCCGCGTATCCAAGAACGTAGATTTGCCCCAAGCACAGTTCTGGGTACCCACGGACTCGACTATGGATAAAGCACGGTTCTGGATACAGCAAGATGGGTACAGTTCAATGAAGATCGCGTCATTCCATTTCGCTGCATAACAATTGATTGTTCTATCACTACGCTCTCCTGTTGATCTTTCCAGAGGAGGAAAGATCGATAAAAGCAGGCTATGCTAACGCCGATAGTTGAATTAAGTAGGGTCGTGTGGCGTAGCGGTAGCGTGTTGGGCTCAGACTCAATAGGTCTCGGGTTCGAATCCTGCCCGATGTCACCGATCTTGAGCCCTTGGAAAAGTCAATTTACACGACTTAGGTGGAAATGAGTACCTAGCTTCGGTTAGGGACGTCCTTCGGAAAGGACGTTAAATGGAGGTCCCGTGTTTGGGGAGAACCACACCCCACGCACGTTAAAGAACCCACCACACTTATCGAAAAGAGTAGGGGACCTTCCCAGTGTGAGTGGCTCAAACATTCGAGTGTGGACAGTAGGATCGGCCATGGTTGGCTGGTGGTTGGATGATGTTTGGGAGTAGGTGAGGCGTGATTGGCATTCACATTTTGTCTCAAAGTTAACTCAAATTCGCTCCGATTTGCATAGAAATGTATGCGTGGCCTAAATCTGGTCAGACTACTACCGAACTTCAGCCAACCTTGGTCTACTGTTGTTCGGGGGAAGTTTCTGAATGTGTGACAGGGGCTTACGTCGGCCAGGGTCGCCTGTTTTTCAAAAACCTTCCCATGCAATCTCTTATATATAGCGGCTAAATCAGTAGATCGGAAGTCTTACCACCGACAAAACGGATTTATTTCGCACAGGTGACAGATGGTCACATGGATTGTCCGTAATCTTATTTTAGCTGCAGATTTGATGCAAGACTTAGCCGCGATCCTAGGATCAATAATTCTATTTTCTCCGGCAGTTCTTTGAATTTTCCCTCTTTATTAGGCCTACTTCAGCCGCCGGCGTTGTGAGCGTAGTTCGGCAAGGAGAGCGTTAGAGCTGTGCTATTTTGTGTGTGTGTTTTCAGTACCAAGAACAGTTCTATTTGTGTGTGGAGGATAGTTTCAGCACAAGAGACAGGTGTGTTTGCCTGTATGGATGGTGATCAGCACCAAGAACAGGCGTGTTTGTGTGTGGATATGGTGTTCAGCACCAAGGACAGGCGTGTTTGTCTTTGTATGGATGATTTTCAGTACCAAGGACAGGTGTGTTTGTGTGTGGATGGTGTTCAGCACCAAGGGCAGGTGTGTTCGCCTGTGTGTGGATGGTGTTCAGCACCAAGGACAGGTGTGTTTGCCTGTATGTGGATGGTGTTCAGCACCAAGGACAGGTGTGTTTGCCTGTGTGGATGGTATTCAGCACCAAGGACAGGCATGTTTGTCTGTGCGTGGATGGTATTCAGCACCAAGGACAGACGTGTTTGTGTGTGGATGGTGTTCAGTACCATGGACAGGTGTGTTTGGCTTTGTGTAGATGGTTGTCAGTGCCAAGGGCAGGTATGTTTGCCTGTGTGTGGATGATGTGTGTTTCTCCACAGAAAAGGAAAAGTGCTTGTTTATTTCCATGAAAGTGCTACGTAGATAACCACCACATGATGACTATCAATGATCGAATACTTTTTTTTCTTCGTGTTCCCGGTCTTCCTCGGGTGACAGCAACCTTTGGTAAGTGGTCTCTCGGGAACATGACGTCAGCAATAGGTCAAAGGTTTCCGGAAGTAGGTATCGCCCCCCGTCTCGGTTCAAAGAACGCTGCTGTGCTCTGATGTATCTATTGCTCACTTTCTATCACATGTATTTTATACAGATTTGCTCTGAGACGTAGAGACCGTTCCAGCAGCCATGGACCAGTTCGTCAACAACACGACCGTTGCCGACCACGTCATGGGCGCCATGCCCTTCATGAAGCACTCGCCGCTGGTCGCCGCCGTCTTCACGGCGTTCTACGTCGTCATCTTCGTCCTGGGCGTCACGGGCAACCTGCTGGTCTGCGTCGTCGTCATCAAGGACCGCAGCATGCGCACCGTCACCAACTACTTCATCGTCAACCTGGCCGTGAGCGATCTGCTGGTCATGCTGATCTGTCTGCCCGTCACCCTGGTCGAGAACTTACTCACAGGTTTGTTTGTTTGGAAGTATTGTTTTCGGTCGCGTTAGTGGATAGTTCGTGTGTTTGTGTCGAGTAATACTGTCGAATTACATGTATAAACTTTTGATCAAATGCAAAAAGCACTGCTACGGCATTCTTCGGGATAAATGACCAAATAACACGTGACCTCGCAGGCACGTGACTCCAGTAATGGGGGATGAAGCCTCTTAGTTTGATGGGTATAGCGCGGAAAGTCTGTAAGATTCAGTTTGTCGGTGGGGTGTGTGCGTATGGATGTGCATGTGTGCCTGTGCGAGCGCGCGCGCGTGTGTGGATGGCGTTCAGCACAAGGGGCAGGTCTACCTGTTTGAGGATAGTTTTCAGCACCAAGGACAGGTGTGTTTACCTGTGTGTGGATGGTATTCAGCACCAAGGACAGGTCTGTTTACCTGTGTGTTGATGGTGTTCAGCACCGAGGACAGGTCTGTTTACCTGTGTGTGGATGGTGTTCAGCCCCAAGGACAGGTCTCTTTACCTGTGTGTGGGTGGTGTTCAGTGTGTGTGATGGTTTTAAGTCAAATCGTTTTCACAAGCCTTTGAAGCCGTTGCCAAAGTTGACTGAACTAAAGCCACAAAGTGTATCGCAAATATTACATGACGAAAATAGCGCTTGTTTACCAAGCGTAGCCTTGGTTCAATACATCGATAATGGGTTTCCTACGCGCCCTCTAAACACCTCTGTCCTTTCATGGCTCGTAAATGACGTCATTATCCAGTGCGTGGGCCTGGAGATGTCCCTGATTCTGGTGCATGGATCGACTGAGAGTACCCAAGGTAACAGGCTGGTCACTAAATGAATTACCTGGAACCCGTTTGAAGAAGGTTGAAGTGTGGTCGTGTGGTGTAACGACAGATCATTCGGCTCTGAACCAAGAGGTCCCGAGTTCGAATCCTGCCATGCCACCGATCTTGTGCCATTGGGAAAGGCACTGGTAATGGTTGAACGTTCGTCTCGGAACCAAGAGGTCCCGGGTTCGAACCCTACCATGCCAACGATCGGGAAAGGGGTTTTACACGTCAAATTTCCTCACTTTACACAGGTGAAAATGAGTATGTCTGTTGTCCGTTCATAGGTTTGTCTGCGTTGGTGTTCTTTCTGAAATGTCAGCTTGGAGGCAACACTGGCTACAAGTGAACTTTATTGTGTGATTAGTTGAATAAACTCCAAAAGTTAACTTTGCTGAACAGAAGAGAAAAAATGCTCTGCTATCTTGTGTTTAATTGAATAAACTACAAAATTAACTTGCTGGATATTTACTGGATATATACGTACGAAAAATGCTCTGCTGTTTTGTGATTAATTGAATAAACTACAAATTAAAGTTAACTTGCTGGACAGAAAAGAAAGCTTGTGATTGATTGAATTAACTACAAAAGTTAACTTGCTGGACAGAAAAGAAAAATGCTCTGCTGGGCCGACAAGGACACCGCGATGAACCGCCCGTCATCCCCCGGCACAACACCCATCCATAAGCGGAGATAAATGGCGTCCTCTCCGGTTATTACGGGATCCAATTTCACGTCCCAGCGGGGTCACCTCTATCGTCACAGCAGGCTTATATTCTCACCTGTCTACTGTTGGCGACATTTGCAGTTCACAAGCCGTGAAAAAATTGCCCATCACAAGAACGGGACGACCTTTTACTGGCTTAGCACGGGGTTGTGAGCTGAGGGGCAAGTTTCACATTCATCTTCATATCATCAGGAGTAGCAAATACCAAAATCAATGTAAAATCTTATATATTTAAAAAGGACGGCTATGCCTGTTGCGGGAATCTAAAAGTATACATTAAGTATATATAGTTCACACATATATCACATTTTGCTTCAAAATTGCTTTTCTTTGAATTTCGATAAAATCATCACAAATTTATAGAAATACTGCTGTGAAGCAATGGAATACTCGCAAGGATTATCGTGTTTAACCATGCGTAAGGCTATTTCTATGTAAATGAAGGCTGGAGACATGGGTCTCCCTCCATGTCAGAATGTGTGGAAAGGTCTGATTGCTCATTAAACGATTGTTGGTGTTATAATTTCCCCCCTCCCTGGACTGTTAGGTAAGGTCGCTCGGAGTAATTTCAGTCGTTGTAGGGTAGATTTTCCATAATTTATTTTTGTCTCACCGGGTATCAAACCACAGTTATCTTATCCTGGCCGCTTGAGCCTACCACTGGTGTTTTGAAAAAGATAGATATTTATAGTCATCTATAGTCCAAAACTCCCTATCTATATCTATCTATCTAATAGTAGCTGCCTATCTATATCTAACTATCTATATCTAGCTAACTATCTAGGTACCTGTTTATCTGTCTATCTATCTATCTATCTATCTACAGTATATAGTAGAAGGAATTCATTCCTCAAGCTAACCGACATCTCGCACACGCAGTCGTCCCTCAATAAGACACAGTTCCCGTTTAGAACTTTTATTCAGACTGTCATATCTATCTATCTACAGCTATCTATCTATCTAGCCGTTTGTGTGTGTGCATGTTCCTGTGAAAAATAGAAAAATGCAATAGGAAATAAAAGCTCGCACATTCAATATCACTATACAGCGTATATATGCCTGAGAGCATTTTTACAAATACGCTTGGCGCTGCAATAGCCTGTTTTTTTTCCTTTACAGTGCCGACAAGCGTTTCAAACTCCGCCACACGTACATCAAATTTATTACTGACTTTTGTCTGACATGAAAGTGAACTACAAAGCCCTGCCTGGAGTTACTTTTTACACGATTAGTAAAAAAAAAAATAACATACGGCCGTCGAGAAGACACGGTTCCTGTCATAATATTCCATAAAGGTACTAAAATTTTGTGTTTTGTGGTTCATAAAATACTCCTTCGAGTCTTATTCCGCTGCAGTACCACGACCTAAAGCAATATCAATTCCAGTGGTTACGGCCATATGTTACTCTTTGAAAAATGATAACTGCGCGGAGTTGTAAGAATATATACTTTTGCCTATCGGCCCACGAGGTAGTCTGGATATAGTACCAGGTGCGAGAACGTGATATGAAAAGGAAAACTTTATGATTGTTATTTTCAAACGTCCATGTTCTTTCTGAAATGTCAGCTTTGAGGAGGACAAAAAGTTTGCAGGATCTTCAGAAGAGACGTGGGGAGGGGGGCGATACAACCTTCCTGGTACCTTTGACCCGTTGCTGACGTCATGTGTCTATAAGGTCACGTGTCCTATTATGACACGATCATTTGAACCTGATGAAGGCTATAGGCCTTTCACACTTGTATTCTGCGCAAAAAACGATACATGTACTGATGCGTAGCAAAAAGCAAACGTCAAATCCAATCTTACTTAGTGAAAAGTTTTGGAAGTTTTGGGCTTGTTCCGTAACATATAACATCGTGATCAATCCCAAAACAATTTCTGGACGATATGACTTCAGACGAATCATTACCATTCTTACCCCGGCAACGGTTTGCTTCCCCACAGGCACTGATCCGAGACAGACTTCCGCGGAGACGCTGAAAGCAACACTTAATCCTTTTCATCGGTTATTGCCCGGAAGAATGCCCCCGTCAAATTGATATCCGTGGTCGGGAGATTTGTAATATCCTCTCTCAACATCACAGCACGGGTCATTGACTCCGGCCTTGTCCGGGGGGATTTTTTGGTGACGCCTCAAGAGCGAGTCCCCCTAGCTTGCTCAGCGTAGAATGAGAAAGATTTGCAATTGCACAGAAGGGCTATGCACATAGAGAGAGAGAGAGAGAGTTACAAACAGACATAGAGAGAGAAAGAGACAAATAGACAATGCAAAGAGATAGAAAGAGAGAGAGAGAGAGAAACGCACGAACACAATACTTTTCACTTCTCTACAATATAGATCATAAATTTTATCATTAGATTATTAAAACCTAATCTCCTCTCGTTACATTTTATACTTACATACATATTACATATTATACATCTTATACTTACCATATATTACACGGAGCAACATGTTACCCTCAACCATTGTACATCTTACTGCATGGGTTATTTCTAAAAAGCTCTCTAGATGCATCAACTGTACTTGGTGCCAGCGAGTTCCACTCCACAATAGTTCTATGGAAAAAAAATTGACACAATCCTTGATTGATAACTCTGTTATTTGAAAGCATGACTTTTTCTTGTCCTTTTCTCAGCTGGTATTAGGTACTTAATAGTTGGTACGTTCATTAGTTTAATTTGTCATATTTATGAGTGTTGAAGTGTTCCTATCAGTCATCTAGCCCGAAACAATTACATGTTGGACGGAGTAATAAGAGCGGCGAGGTGTGACGCGCAACCTTTGCCTGACGAGAAAAACTAAAAACTAACATTGATCACCTAATGAGTAAAACCTTTACAATTTACGATCTGTGGCGAGGAGGCGGCAGATTGGAACCGGCAGATTGCTTGTCTGATATTTTAGTGATTTTTACTGCCTAAGATGTGATGAACTGAGGTCTGGGGACTATAATGCTGATGAAAAACATCGTTAGTGCACGAAAGAATTACAACGGCGTGCTGATTAAATCGTAAAAGCTTGCTTGATAGGTTGCAGTCTATGTGTTACTTAATGGTACGCAGAAGGCATTAGTTCACCTTACAAACACTTAAATAAGGACTAGAAAGGTGACATTTGCAAAGCAAATGTAGAATGTTTACCTTCGCATATGTTTTGCTCTGTTCATTCTTACTCAAATACATTCACATATATGGTCAGACAGAAGTATACATCCCTCCTACTGTAAAATTGCAACATTATGTAACCCAACACCAGTTACCATGGTGAGAGACGTCAACAAATCAGGTCATTGGCCAGGTCAGAGGTCAGGGTTTGGAACAGAAGAAGAGGAAACGTAGCAAAAACAATGTGTTTTCCTTCGATAAACATAATAAGTTGTGATAACATTTCTCACGCATAGAGATAGAGAGACTGCATGAGAGAGAGGGGGGGGAGAGGGAGAGAGAGAGAGG